TAGTGGCTGCGCTTCAGAAAGCTGTGGCCTGAGCCTGGTTTCCTCAGTGCTGCTACATGCTCCCCCCCTTCTGGGAGCAACAACTCCCACCTTCCTACTGCTGGAAAAGGCATCACAGCCTCATGTAGCAGTGTCTCTAGTGGCAAAACACCTTTTTGGGGGAGCTAACTGCTCACAGGCAACCACACGATGTCGGCTGCGCCGTCTGAACGCAGCGATGGTGAGAACGAGGGCAAAAGACAAACAAGAGTCTCAATTCCTCCTGCAGCTACTTCACAGTGTCTCTTTCCAGGCTGAATCCTGCCTGTTCCCCTCACAACTGTGTCTTTTAGGCCTGTAACCTCCTACACAGGAGGCCACCACAGCACAGACAGCCCCCAGCCTGCACCCCAAGCTCGTCCACACACAGAAGTGGCTCCCCCAAGGTACCCAGCAGCACTGGTGTGCCAAAACACAGACCCAGCACTCTGTAGTGTGCTCTGTGGGAATATTTAATCTCCAAACAAAATAGTCCCACAACTCAACAGGCCGAGCAGGAAGTGACCATTCAAAGCTCAACCTTGTTTTCTGTGGTTTTAAGTGAAAACTGCTGTGGCTTCTGAAAACTGTGGGATGGGCTGTGAAACTGCCTGAAAACCACCAGCTGCTCCTGCCAGGTGAGGAAACCTGCTTGAGAGCAGCAGCTGGTCCTAGTGGGATTTCTGTCCTGTCTTCCTGAGAACAGGAGGATCACGTGCACACGTGGCAAAGTCTGAAACCTGATTTTGATTCCAGGGTGACAGGAGAGTTTTTTTCCTCAGAAATATTCATGGCTGGGATGGCACTTTGTTTTCCTTTCACCTGCTCACAAGGTCAGTGAGCAGAGCTCCCCTCTGCTACCTCATGCTGGAGAACATCTTCACTAACCCAATGGCCACTCTGTGCAGCTCCAGACTGGGTGGAGAATCCATCCAGGGACTCCAATTCTCACCCTTCTGTGGAGAGGTCAGCAGACCTCAGCTACAGACTGCAGTGCCATGGCTGCAGGAGCTGGGACACCTTCCCACACCACTCCTGCTAGGAGAGGCCACGACAAAGCTCATCCAAAAACAGGGCAGAAACATTCTGCTCCAAACACGACAGCAGGAAGGCAGAGCTTACCTCTGTGTGGAGCACCAGAACCTGCTGCCCTTGGCAGAGCTCCATTCAGAGTTGCAGGCTGGGAACTGCTGCTTCTCCTCCTCGCTTTCTGCTTGGAGCTTCAGAGCCTCCTCAATGGCAGCCTCAGCCTGCCTCAAGGCTTCTGTCGGTGCCCCCTCTTCATCATAGTATCTGCCCACCAGCTTCCCTGGGAGAGGAGATTCATCAACACTGCAGTGGCTCCAGGCAAGGAAAACTAATAGTTCTGGCTTTTTTTTTTTTTAATTTGTTATTTAAAGACAAAAAAAAAAGGATGATCTCATCATGGCCCAATTTTAAAGCATAAGCTGATCTTACGTCCCTTCCAATCTGGGATCACACAGCAATTTACCAATATTAATAAACCCAAACAAGCTTAGACACAGACTCATCAAAGATGAGAAAGTCAACGTCACGTTCAGCTGCAGAACCCAGAAGCCTTTCCCACCCGTGCACCTCATTCCCCAAAATAGCCTCCCAAGATCCTGCTAATTCCAGTGCTCCCAGCCCTGGCTCCATTCCTTTCTGCTGGAACAGAAGCAGGGCAGGGAGCTGCAGCTGACAGCCCAGGGCAGAACTGTTCAGCTTCACCGTAGGGCCAAGGAGCCCCCAAACCAGGTCTGATGCAGCAGCAGCAGCTCTGGCTGACCCCGCAGGTCTCAGCACGCTGGCGCCCAGCAGCACCGCTGCTCGAGGGGCTGCCCGCCCCCCTCGCCCCCCTCCGCCCGGGAGAACCGTGTGCCCGGCCAGAGCCACCTACCCA